GGTAGGCCAGGGAGACAGTCACAGGAGAGGGTGGGAGCAGCTATTACCTTGCTCCAGGGTTTCTGGTATGCATAAGGGATACTGTCAAGCATAGAGGAATGTGAAGGTGCTATAAGAATGGGGTAATTTCCTTGGTACTAAGAAGCTTTAAGAAGGGAACTTAGAATAGAGGGTCAGTCCTGGGATTCACTAACCGGTGTGAAAGTGCACCACAATGTCCAGTAGGTATAGCAGGTCACTCGTGTAGTCCAGCACTAACCAGGCCACCAGATAACCATGTTGCAAGTCTGGAAAGCAGGCTCTGCATGGTGGAGACAGAAGGGATTGGCTTATGGGCACCCCTCGTGTGTGTCAGGTAGTCTCCCCAAGCCACTCAGCCCTCCCCACTGGGTTCTCACTTAGGCCCCACCCCTCCCAAAGATCCCACCCCTTTCATGACCCCTACTTTTTTGCCCTTGTCTCCGCTAAAGCCCTTCCCTTAGATTCCTGCCAAACCTGCACACGATGATGATGAGGTTATACATTACTGGGAAGACCATCGTGTTGAGCCACCAGTAGTAGTAATCCCCAGATGGGTCCAGGACAGGCAGCGTTTTCCTGTGGACAAGAGGGGAAGTCCTGTTTCATTTATTCATCATTCCATGTGAAGGTTGTAACTTGGGGCACCAAAAAGAATCAGGCTCCATCTAGTGATGCAAACAGATTTCACACAGGATAACAGGTTCTCTCACCTGGACTTGGATGGCGCAGAGGGGCTGGATTCTGTTGTCTTCACTTTGCTGTCTTGGCTCATGTTTCTGTGACCTGATGCCTAGGTGTGAGATATCCAGGGCCCCTGCTGGTAGGCAGCTTCAGGAGATGGGGGCTAGTGCCTGCCTGCCTGCCTGGAAGAGGCAGCCCTTAGTTTCCAGCTGATACTCCTCTGTCTTTGGCTTGTGGAGCTCTTAGCAACACAACCAGGGCTAGCTCTACTGAAGGGGTGGAGGCAGTGTGGCTCTAGCATCCCGCCCTGTCTCCCAGGGCCTGAGTTTATATCTGCTTAGCTAAACATCTCTAATGAGTTCCCTGGAGAAGGTGAGGGTACATGCCTCAGAGATAAGGCTGAGCCTTTTCTCTACCTACCACATCCCCCAAGCTGGACTACATAGGGGCCTTCTAGTCAGAAGACCTTGGTGATAGTATAGACTCAGGCATCCATTCTCTTTTACTTTGTGCAAGTTCCTTGTTTGGGCCTCATTAGTTGTTTATTCAACAACTATTTACGGAATGGCTCATTTGTGTTTGGTGCTGAATTCTCCAGGGACAAATGCCTGTCACATCAGATGTGAGCTCTGCTTTTATTATCTGTACCCTACCTTATAACCATACCCACCTTACCTAATTCCTGCTGGATGAGTGTGATGGGGGCCATCCGGTGGTGTTTTGCCCCATTCCCTTCTTGTTACCTCTAGTACCTGATCCCACCAGCTATTTCATGTGTTTTCTAGATCCTCCAGCTCTTTCATTTCCCTTTCTGTGAATATGCTTACATCTTTCCCATACCAAAACAAACAAAGAAAAACCTAAAACTTCTCCCTTAACTTGATGTCCCTTTCAACACTATGATCTTTTTTCAGTCAAAACAGGTCATAATGAAAACATCTGCTATGTGCCAGGTTAATATTAAACTAAGTATTGGGGACAAATGATGAATGAGAAGCACTCCTTGCTTCTAGAAACTCATAGTCTGGTAGGGGAGACAGTTGGGTAGGTAGGTAATGACACATCTATCTGTCTGATGGGTACTCTATTAGGTAGCTTTTAGAGGGCCATTGCAGTACATAGGAAGGCTCCCAACTGAGCCTGGGTGCTGCAGAATGAATAGGAGTTAGTTAGGTACAGAGATGGAAGGATGAAGAGCACGAGAGGCAAAGTGCATAGAGTGTGCAAAGGCACAGAAACTTCGAAAAGCTTGGGTGACTGGGGGAACATCAGTTGGTTTTTGTAGAGAACCTGAGGGGCCAGTAGTGAGAGATGAAGCTGAATGGTGAGTAGAGGCTAGCTCAGAGAGAGCTCTGTCAGCCATGTTATAAACCTAGGATTTCATCTAAAGTCATTGGGGAATCTGTGAAGTGTTCTCTACAGTTAAGTAATGTGATCAGGTCTGTGTTTTTGAAGTGTTTCTTGTAAGAAATATCTCTAGTTCCCCAACATTTTATTTTAGTTTTTTGAAATATCCTTTTCCCATGGCTTCTGTGACACCATAGTTTCTTGCTTTTCTTTATTTCTTCATAGTTTCTTCCATCAGCCTCTCTGCCAATTCTTGTGTTAGTATTTTTTTAGAACTCTTTCCCGGGCCTTTCTTCTTTTCATCCTCGCAACTCTCTCAGGCCCATCTTGGTCACCCATAAGATTTCCTTCACCACATAATGAGTTCCAAGAACTCTCTCTTAGCTGCAGACCTATCTATACCACTAACTGCTCATTGACTGTCCCTGCTGGGATAGACCACAGTCACCTTCCACACGTTGAATCTATAACTGAGTTCATTATCTTCTCCATTGGCTTTTTCTCTTATAATTTCTATCTCTGGTCTTTCAGCCAAAACACCTAGCACCAGTACTTATTATTACTATCATTGTTGTTATTGTATGATATTTTGGCAGTTTTTAAAAACTACCAAAAATCCTAGTTCTTTTGGAATGTTTGGAAGCTCCCTTTCAGGACGACTTCTCTTGGAAATTAGTTACGCTGTTGTGATTGTTTCCAAGCCACAAGGAGCAGTCAGTCATGTGTCTGTGCTTTGTTTGACACACCCAGCTGAGCTCAACCTTTGAGTTGTCTCAGCCCAGGTATCAAACATGTGAATGAAGAAGCCTCCATATGATTCCAGTCCCTAGCCTCAAGTCACCCCCAGGAATTTGAACTTCCTAGATATCGTAGAACAGACATGTCATTCCTGCTGTGTGACATATACAGACTGTCTGAGCATGATAAAATGGCTATTGTTTTATACCACTGAGTTTGCGATGGTTTGCTACATAGCATAGTAATCATAATGAATATGCATATAGAAAAGTACACATTTCCTAAGTATACAGTTTGATGAACTTGGCAAACATGAACACACCCATGTAACCAGCACTCAAATCAAGAGTCTCACTCTATTTCCAGTCAATGCTTTTCCAATGGTAATCACTCTCCTGACTTCGAATACCACAGTTTAGTTTTGGCTGTGTTTAAACTTATATAAATTAAGCATCAGTTTTTGATTCTTCCTTTTATTTTCCCTTTTCATCCAATCATCAAGTCCTAGTGACCTACCTTCTAATGTCCACATGTCTATTTCTCTGCATCCTTACTACTCAAATTTGGACGTTACCACTCTGACCATGGATAAAATTCTTTCACAGTTCTCTAACAAGGATAAAATCTAAACTTCTTAACATGGCCTACAAAGTTCTCTAGTATCTGACCTCTGTCCATGTCTTCAGCCTCATCTCACAGTGATTCCTTTACATGTTCCTTAGGCTCCAGACATGCTGTAACTGATTGTAATTCCTAGGGCACCCTTGACATGTTGTCCATTCTTCCTTGCCAAGGTATGTGCTGATTCTTTGAATTGAAACTTCCATTTCTTTAAAAATACTTTTTATTTTCAACCAATTTTAGGATTACAGAAAAGTTACAAAAATAGCACAAAAAAATCTTGTAAACTTCTTACGCACATTCCTGTTATCATCTTATATAACCAGAGTACAATGATCAAAACCAAGGAATTAACATTGATACAATACTTTCAACTAAACTACAGACCCTATCTGAAACTTTCATATCTCTTAGTTTATTTTAGTCTTGTTTTACAAGACTGCTCAGACATCATCTCCTTCTGGAAGGCTTCCCTAAGTCCCTGCGCCCTTCTTGTCTCTCAGCCTCTAGACACAAATCACACTACGTGCTATTCTTCCATAGCACTTAACTACATTATGTTGCAATTGTTTGGTTAAAGGGCTGAAGTCCTGGAGGGCCTAGGCCTGTCCTAATCAATCTGGAATCTCACTTGACATAGAGGCGTTTATTCCAGTTTTTTTTTTTTCTAAAGATTTTATTTATTTTTAGAGAGGGAAGGGGAGGAGATAGAGAGAGAGAAATATCAATGTGCGGTTGCTGGGGGTTATAGCCTGCAACCCAGGCATGTACCCTGGCTGGGAATCGAACCTACAACAGTTTGGTTCGCAGCCTGCGCTCAATCCACTGAGCTACGCCAGCCAGGGCCTTTTTTTTTAAAAAAAAAAAATTATTTTAATCATTGTTCAAGTACAGTTTTCTCCCTTTTACTCCCAAATTCCAGGTTCTTGAGTGCAGGTGTTGAGTAGCTGAAAGGAGCGGTCAGAGTCCAGAGGTACTACCCAAGCCATACACACAGTTGGAACAAAGCTGACCTGAACTGTTAGCAATCAGCCCTCTCAGGGACCCCGCTTTACAACAGGCACCGCTCACCTGCTGACACCTCTACTCTGACCTACCCTTTCGCGCTAGCCCCGCCCCTTCCACGCCCACCCTGCCAGTCCAAACAAGGCCCAGGGTCCGTGGCACAGTCCCTTCCGTGTTAGCCCCTAGTTCTCTGCTAAGCCCCGGCTCTCCCGTCTTTCCAGGGTTCTTAAAGTCGGGTCCCTTCTTTGGTCCCGCCTCCTGCCTTCGGGTCAACCTTTCCTTCCCAAGCTCCACCTCTAGCCCGCGGGCCTCCGCCTCCCTGCAGGTATTTCCCCGACTGGATAGAGTCCTTCGGGGGGCGGGGTGTACCACACGAAGAGGCGGGATCTGGGGGAAGCGGCTGCACACCGCTCACGCCGAGCAGTCGGCCACCCCGCCCCTGCGCTCGGCCGTTGCCGGGAAACAGGCAACGACGCTCTGGCTGAGGCCTGGTCCAGCCAATGAGCTGGCACGCCATTGCCCAGTAGTGCGTCTCTGGGCGGTTACGTGTATTGCGCGGGGGTGCGGATTGCGTGGGGCGCGGGGCTCGGGGCGGGGCGCGGCTGGTGCGTCTGAGGAGTGATGGCGGCGGCCTGAACTCACCTAGCGGTGCCGCGGCAGTCGGGCCTGGGTAGGATCGGAGTTCCGTGAGTGAGTGGTGAGTGTGGGCCGGAGGGCTCCGAGAGCACGCGGGGGGATGAGAGAGAGGGGTATGACGGCCCCAGTTTTGGTGACTGTACGGGTTGTGGGGGGACAGGGCGAGGGGCTGGCGTGTGGTGAGGGGCCGAGTCTCAGGTAGAGCAGCAAGGTTAGAGTCTAGGAGTGGGTGGGCAAGTAAGGAGCTGGCTTGTAAGAGGGGTTGTGCGATGCTTTCCGAAGGGCCAAGTGAAAGGGACTTGTGAACAGGAGGGGCTGGGGCTCCTGTGGGTGGGGGTGAGGGACAGCCCCGGGACCCGAGTGTGGGGGTGAGGCCCGTGCAGGGTGGGGGAGAGAAAAGGGCCGAGGCTGGAGTGTGCAGGCTTCTAGTAAATTGGTGAGGGGGTTGAGGACAGGGCATGGGAGGAAGGACTGAGGGTACTGAGACTTGGATAAGAGTGAGAGCTTGGTTCTGAGATCTCATTCAGTGGACTGTCCTGGCCATTGAGAGTAGTAGTTGTAGACTGAGTAGGACAGCTTGGGTAGAAATGAGCACGTGGCCCTTCAACTCCTGTGAGTCCTATATATTTTGGAGGACAAAAAAAAAAAAAATGAAGGCATCATGGGCGAGACTAACTATGATACAATTTTTGAGGCTTAGTGTTCAACAGAGTAATCACGGGGACCCCCGTTCCCTCAGGTTCCTCTTTGGGACTGCAAACTGGAAGCTGGTCTCTCTCATGGAGGTTTTTGGGCTACGACTGCCTATTTTTGTTTTCTTTCCACCTGATTTTGGGCAGCCTTACTCTTCTGCTGCCCCTCACCTATGCTGAGCTGTGGGGCTTTCATGGTTGTCATATACATTGGATTAACCACGTTCAGTTGCTAATTCTATTTTCATGAAAGTCACATGGTTTGTTAGATACAACATTATATTTAGGTTCCCAAACAGGAAGGCTTTGCTCTCATATGTTTACAGTTAAAAAAAAGAAAAAAACTTGAGGTAAATTTATGTACAGTAAACTGCTTGTATTTAAAATGTACACGTTTGACGTTTTGACATGTTTATATCTGTGAAACCACTTTCAAGATACTGAACATTTCTGTTACCCCCAGAAGTTTTGTCCTGTACCTTTGTAATTTATCCCTTCCTCCATGACCTGTTACTGGCATCACTTTATTAGCATTTACAGGTTCCTATCTTCCTGTCAATCAACATGCACATGAAAATTTTGAAAGTTCTGCAAAACACTCAGTGATAGCCAGTTTCACACCAATATATTTTCATCTCTGCTGACAGTCTACCACAAAGCCTAGACCCCTTCCTCAACATGAGGAAGAGCTAGACCTTTCCTACCTAGCCTCCTCCCTGAGAATTGGGGGCAGCTGAAGTTCCCATTCTGTTTCAGATACTCAACATCAGAACCAACTACTATTCTGTTCCATGATATGTTTTCATTGCTTCTCTCTGGAGGCCAAAAAAGTTTTCATGCTGGTGGAACTCTTGGCAACCTGTCCAGACTGTCAGAACCCTGTAGAACCTATATGTATCATAACAGGGTTTAGAGCAGTGATTCTTCAACACTGGGCAAAGGATTTTGTCAGTCAGTGATAAAGTTTTCATCCACCCAAGGAGAAGGTGGAAAATGAGAGAGACAACATACAGAGCATGGGTTTTTCATAAAAAATTTATTCTGAGATTATTATTTCTATTTTGGTGTTAAAGTGCTCCCCCACTAATGAATTAATGGTAATAAAAGATGGAGGGTTTAAAAAAATGGCCTTATTTGTCAACATTAAAAGTAACACTCGGCCCCGGCTGGTGTGGCTCAGTGGATTGAGCACTGGCCTGCAAACCAAAGGGTCGCTGGTTCGATTCCCAGTCAGGGCACATGCCTGGGTTGCGGTGGGCCAGGTCCCCGGTAGGGGGTACTTGAGAGGCAAGCACACGTTGATGTTTCCTCCTCTTCCTCCGTCCCTTCCCCTCTGTCTAAAAATAAATAAATAAAACCTAAAAAAAAAGGAAAAGTAACACTCCTACATTTTAATATTTAAAAATATTTCTACTGGTTAATAAATTCCAGAAATTTAGAGTGATGATCATGTGGTTGTTTTATGGTGAGGAAGCATGTCTTTATACAGTAATTCTAAATAACTTCTATCTCTGAACAGCATTATGTTTATAAAGCAATCTCACATTTTACTGGATTTACATTGATACCTTGTGAAATAGGCAAGGGCAAGAGTTCTTATTTTATAGATGAGGAATCAAATTCAGAAGCCAGAGGCCACATAGTAAAAAAGTGCCAAAGCTGAATCCAAAGTTTGGTCTCCTGAGACTGAGAGTGACTTGGAGAAAGAAAGTTTGTAATAGAGAGTGTAGGTGATGTGGACTAAAAAGGCACATGATATATCTAGGAAGGGTTATGATGATGTGGAGGACATCATAGTGGCAGGGAGCATTTTTTATGATTTGCAATTGGTGAAAGATGAAAGGTAGTCGGAGGGTGACATAGGGATGAGGGTTCTGCTTAGTATGGTGGTGGTGACACAGGAACAGGTATGCATAATACCTGGATCACATCATGATAGTGATAGGATGCTATGTCAGAGGGTTCTCTGGGACCCTTTCAAATTCTTGGTTATTTTGGAGAAATCACTGGGTTTTGTAAGCCTGTTGTTTGCTGCACTGAACTCTCTGTCGAATAGTACATTAAATATAATGGACATATAGCTCCGTGGTAGATCTGAGAAGATGAAACAGATGAGGATGATAATGTAGAGATGGAAATGTGTGTAACCATCTATTCCACATCTGCTAGTGCCAGGCATTCTTCCAAGCGTTGGGAGAACAAATTCATACATTCATATATTAATTCCTTTTATTCAGCAAATACTTTAACAAATAGTCTGCCCTTGTGATGCTCACATTTTATGAGGTAACAAGATAAATAAGACATGGTCTTCTGAGGTCTCAAGGAATTCTCAATCTGGTTAGGAAAGATAGACACATGAAAAAAATAATTTAAATTTAGGGGAAGAATAAAATATGAAAATATATGATAATGAGGTGATTACATCTCTGTATCTATCTCAGTCTCTCCCTATGTTCCAATTATATATGTTCAGTGATCTGTTATATATCTCCAGATGTATCTCAAATTTGACATGTCCAAAACAGAACTCATTGTCTTTGCTCTGAAAGACTGCTTTTGCACCTTATGCCCCATCTTAGTCCAGGCGAGGACTTCCGTGTCATCTTCCATTCTTTCTGCTCCTTCACCCCTTGCATTTAATCAATCATTAATCTTAATATATTTTCTGTTCTTTTATCTCCCTTTTTATTTCCATTGCTACAGCTTCATTGCTGAAGCTTTAATTTCTTCATCTCTCATCTGTACTTTTTGTCCCCAACAGCCTCCTGCCTTCAAACTTGTTTTTTTGTTTTCTTGTTCATCCCTGGAATGATCTTTCTAAAAATACAAATCTGATTGTGGAATTCCTCAGTTTAAAAAGTTTTGGCTCTTTGTGTTTTGTAGGACAACATCCAAATTCTTTAATGTGGCATCATTTGGCCTCAACTCACCTCTCCAGCCTCATCTCCTGCCACTCCTTACTCTGTTCTAGCTTGAATAAATTGTTCCCAGTTCCTTAACAAACTTGTTACTTTTTTTGAGCCTTGAAATCACAAACTGCTTCCTCTACTAGGAATGTTTTTTCTTCTATGCTCATTGAATTTTCCTCATCTTTAAGACTTAGTTCAGCCTCACTCCTTTTTGACATCTTCTTTGTCACCCTTACCCAACAGGTATAGAGATAACCATGTGTATGTGACATGGGGATTCACTGTTGTAAAGGGGGAGTTACAGTGTGATTCACGTTGTGAGTTACAAGGGCTCTGCTGGAGTCAGATGAGAGGATTCCCTGTAAGAAGCATGGCTGGTACTGGGGAGAGGTGAAGTAGTGAGTTGGGACCACACACTGATAGGCCATTTGTCTTACACCTATAGACTGAGGGCCAGGCAAGTTATGTAAGCTGAGCTCTAGGACATTAGGCTTCTTTGAGGTAGTCCCTCCCCCCACTCCCTGCCCCCTTTGTTTCCTATGAGGTTTTAATCCAGTTTTTCTGCTTTCACTACTTAAGGTCACAGCCCATCCATACCTCTTATATAAATATCAGTCATCTTGTCTAGGAAGAGAAGCCTTAGGATTTTACTGACCTGTTCTTAGAAGGTCATTCTGGTACCTTTTTGTCTGCTGTACATATTGGCAGGTATATCCCTACCCCCACCTCCCTTTTTTTTCTTTGCCTCTCCCAGGGCAAAGGTTCAGAAGTGAGCTTGACGCACTTCCTGCCTTGTGGTTACTGTTCCAAGGTTGGTGAACACTGGCTGAGTGTGTCTGTGAGGCTGTATTTTGGGCTCTAGGTGAGTGCCTAATCTTGGCTTTTTGTGAGTCTCAAAGATCATCTCCTTCACCTTTTTTCCCCCTGTGCTGGAGCCTGAAGGTAAATCTGTATAGGAGGTGGGGGATCCACTTTTTTCCTAGCCTTTGCTATGGGAGAAAGAGGCACAGTAATAGGGTGGTGATTCCATAATCTTTTTTGTCTTGTTCTGAACTTTATAGAGTTAACAGGGAGTGAGGAAGTCTAACTAGGTGATGAGGGGCACCAGACCATGATTTCATATATTTCTGTAGTATGTGAACAGATTTAAGTGTTGTCTTTTAGGTTCTGAGACACTGATTCCAGCCTGGCTCTTGTCCTTGAGGTCTTTGTAAAGAGAGTGGGTGGGGGTGAGGAAAGGTACTGGAGGCTAGTCCCCCTTGGGTCTGTGAGCAATGCTCTTTGTTGGTCAAGCAGTGGAACAGAAGGGGGCACCCAGGTATGTTGCAGTGCAGGTTGGCTAATCTTTGGGACTGAGTTCTAGTAGCTGGGGGCAGTTTAGTTTTGGACACTTTAATGCCTTGCTTTGCTAAGATTGGATGCTTGGCCTTCCTTCAGCTGACTGGTGTGTGAGTATGGGGTGGTGAGGAGTGACTGGTTAGGGCAGGTTAGGTCTTTCCTCTCAGTCAGAGGTGAGGGCATCTAAGTCAAACAGGATCAGGAGTGGGAAGTGGGGAAAGGTAAATGTCATTTACAGAGCACGTGCCTTTGTGCCTGGCGTGCTACATAGGTTATCTTTTTTAATTCCTGAAACAGTAACAATACTTATTTCATCAGAAATTTATAGATGAGGGAACTGAGGCTCTGGTGTGTGAAGTGATTATTTAAGGTCTCATAGCTGGAAAGTGGTGGACTGAGATTCAAGCCTTTGTTTGAGGGACTCCAGAACTCATGCTTTACCTACTTCTTTGTGTTTCTCCTGCTTGACCTTAGGGTGTCTATTTGTTTTCAGTCCTCAAATGAGATGTGATTGAGAAAGTGGTCTCTAAACAGTAATACTTTTGTCTCAGTCAGGGTCTCTGCAGGTAAGAGATGGCATAAATTGAGCTTGGGACAATTTAATAAAGCGTCGATGTTTACAGAGATGTGGGCAGAGTTTAAGGAATCCAGCAGGGATGATCCAGTATCTCAGGGCTAATAACAGTGAGTGGGCTAGTAAGCCTAGTGAAATAAGACTTCTTACTAAGATTTTCAGCTGTTGGCTTTGTTTTCTTCATGCCATGCCTGCTTGGGACTAAGAAGTATTTGGGCAGATGATGGGTAAGTACCTTTTCTGGTGTATTTCTGCTACTGATAGTAGTTTGAGTGACTGTTTTTGACGGTTTATAGGAAACCATGTGTGAAAGACTGAGCTTCCATTCTTTGGCTCTGCCACCTTCTCACCCCTTCTCATTTCCCTCACCCTCACTGTCTTGGGTGAATGATAGATGGAAGGTTGGCCAGGGCTGGTAGTGGTAGATATTTGCTTCCCTCTTTCCGATTTTGGATTCATCTGAAGTGGCACCCATCCTCCATTTATTTCTGTTAACCTCCTTTCTTAGAGAAAGTGGTATACCTGTTTTTTCTCTGACTAATCCCTTATCTTATTTTTTGTCAGTTATTTCCACCTTATTTACCCATCACCTGTTATTTTCTGAAGATTTCTTTTCCTCACTTGACAAATACCTTTGAGGCTCCCCATTCTACAACAAAACCAAACCAAACAATAAAAATTCTCTAGACTCCCCACCACCCCTCCCAGCTTCTTTAAACTGTTGCCCTCTTTTCCTGCTCTAATTACTGAATTTCCTGAAAGTGCACCTTACTCGTCTTTGGCCTATAGTCATTCTTTAACCAGTTACTTTCCTAAGGTTATCTAAAACTTGATTGCTAAAACGGACTGACCATTTTCTATCTTCGTTCTCCTTAATCTCTCTGTAGACTATTCACTATGGGCAACCTCCAGTTTCTTGAAATGTTTTTCCCCTTGATTTCTAGATTACCACTATTTCTTGGATTTCTCTGTCCATTTCTGGCTAACTTCATAGTTTTCTTTGAGCCCTCTTCCTTTGCTTTCCTAAATCCTGGTTTTCCTAAGGATGTCACCCTTAGCTCTTTTTATGATCTGCTGACCTTTGGATGATTCCATCTACTTTCATAGCTTTACCTACCAAGGTGATGACTCCTGGATTTATATCTCTAGTCTTGATTTCACTCTTGACCTCAAATGTAACATTTTTACTTGTTTTCTGGACATCATAGATATTCTGTATGTGTGTCAAAACTTAACATGTCTAAAACTGTACTCATTCTCTTTTCTAAAACACAATTCCCTTTGTTATTTATTCCTGGTCTGTTAATGGCATTATGTTTTGCTGAGTCTCCTGTACTTCATATTAGGGTCTTCTCTTATCCTCCATTCATTTACCATGTCTTGTTGCTTCTATTTTATGAGTAAGTTAAATCTGGAAGCAGATTTTCTGCATATGCATCCCAGTTGCACTTACTGGCTGGCTAGCTTTGATAGTTTATTTAACCTTTCTAGGCTTCCTTATGTGTAAAATGGAGACATTAGTATATCTAGTGTTTTTATGAAGTTTAAGTGAGTTATTATATGTAGTACTTAGAATAGAGCCTGGCACATAGTAAGTACTCAGCATATGTTAGGTGTTATAATTATTTTAAAGTCATCATTCAGTTCCACGGGCATTTTTGAATGCCAGGCACTGTGTTGCCACTGGATTTCAAAGATGAATGAATGATATGGTCACTCTGTTAAGGAACTTGCTATTAATGGCAGAGATATTATAGATGTAAATAATTTCATGCTAAGATAGAGGTGAATCTCAGATTTACCTTTTCTTTTCTAATCTTGACCATACCAGTATAATCTTAGTTCATACCGTCTTTTAAAAAAACAACACATTGTTGAAACAGATGCTCATAAATTGTCCACTGCCATCTGTCTCTCTGCTCCACCTTATACTTCTATTTGACGTATTTGTAAAGGCAAATTTGATCTTGTCATTTCCTTGTTTAAAACCCCCCTCTGTCTCCCGGGTGTCCTTAGGTAAAACCCAGACTCCTTAGCATGGTATTCAATGATATTATAACTTTCACCCATATTTACCCTTTAACTCAATATTACATCTTACTTCTCTATATAGTCTGTAAGCCACACCAAATTTGCAACTGTTCTTCCGATTTGTTGTGCTCTTTCATGGTGCCATGTTTTTGTACATACCATTTTCAGTATGAACAAGGCCTTTCCCTTTGCTCTCTTTGTTACCAGTGTCTATCATTAAAGATTTAAGTCAGATACAACCTTTCTGAAATCCTCTTATAATCTCCCAGGCAGAATTAGTTGCTTTCTTTCATGCCCCCATGACACTTTTATAAATACCGTATTTTTGGACTATAAGACTCATGTTCCCTCCCCCTCCTCCCCCAAATTTGGGAGGAAAATGGGGGTGTGTCTTATAGTCCGAATGTAGCTTTACATTTACACTGGTGAAATATTATGTTATTTATGTTATTATTAAATATTTTACCACATTTTTTGCTTCAAAAATTTTTTTCCTATTTTCCTCTAAAACCTAGGTGCGTCTTATGGTCTGACAAATATGGTATTTGCATTTATAATATTTACTAGAATTTTTTAAATGCTTCCCAGCAGTTTTTAATTCATCTCCATATTTCTAGTGCTTGTGTAGCAAAGTGCCCAGTACTTTGTCAGTGAGGCAAATCTGCTATTTAGGACTGGCTCCACCCTTTATAAGATTGTCTACTGTCTCATAGAGGGTTTCATTAAGCACAGTTGCTGCATTCCTTTGGTTGTGAGCTGGTAATGATGAGGGAGAGGATCTGGGTTGAAGGGGATGGCAGTGTGGGGCTGTTGCCAGGTCCCTGGGTTTCTTCAGCTCTTGTTGAGTATAAAGAGGAAGGACAACTAGACCACACCTTTCCTCTGAAGCTTTTGCTTTTATGAGAGACAACACTGCTGAGGGGTGTGGTGGGTGTAAAAGAGGAGGAACTGTGAGCCAACAGCTATTTTGCTACTTTTCCCCTTTCTTTAGTGAGGGTGTCTTGTCATGTCCCCAGGAGTGAGTATGGGGATCTGACAGAAGTGGGGAATATGTGTGTACATAGGAGTGTGTCCATTGTTCTGTTCTTTTATTGGTTCTGCATTTTCACCTTTTAAGAGTATTCAGACAATTAAGGGTCTGTTTGCCCATTTCCTACTGGGCAGGTTTCTAAGGAGAGAACTGTGATAGGCAGAATAAAATTTATTCCTCAACAGTACAAGAGGGCTGGAGTCAGATCAGGACTGGGTTTCTTGATTGTTTATTTGTTCATTCATCTGTTTGTTCATTCATTCACTCATTCACTTAAGTATTCATACATTCAACAAATATTGAGTCTTTAGGCACAATGGTAAATAAAACATAAACCACACCCTCTATGAGCTTACTTTCTAGTGGGGAATATAGACAAATAAATAATTTCAGGTAGTGAAAACTGCTAAGAAGAAAATAGGATTAGGGAGCTAGAGAGTGAAGATGGGAAGATGTGCTATTTAGATAGAATTGTTGAGTAAGGGCTCCCCTAGGAGATGGCATTTGAAAAGACCTGTGAGATGAGAGTAATGTGAAGATCAGAAGAGCATTCCAGGCAGAGGGAATGGGGAAGTATTCACAAAGGCCTGTGTGTGTAAAGTATGAGTGAGGAAGAGGATGGTAGGAGGTTACACAGATTAGATTATATAGGGCTCTAGAGGCCAAGGTAAGGGATTTGGATAATGACTAGTGTGATAGGAAATCATTGGAAGGTATTCAGCAGAAGAGATACATAATTTAGGTTTTAAAAATATCACTCTGTTTGCTGTGTGAGGAATAAACTCTCAGGGAAGAATACTGGAAACATGGATGCCAAATTGGAAGCTATTGCAATAGTGAGACCTGTTTTGAGGGTAGAGATGATAAGAGCTTGCTGATGAACTGGATATTAGAAGTAAGGAAAAGAAATGATGACATCCAGGATTTTGGCCTCAGTGTGTAGGTGAATCTTGATTATTATGGAGATAGAGAAGACTGAGGGTGTAATAGGTTTAGTGGTAGAAATGAGTTCTACTTTAGATATGTTAAGTTTAAGCTGCTCATTGTGTATGTGTGTATGTGTGGAGTTTTCAGTGGACTAGTGGTTCTGAGTTCTTTCTGCTGGGTAGTGGAGAGTGGCAAACTTCCGTTGACCTCTTCCATTCTCTCTTTTTGAAGTAGATTTGCAAGTCTGGACTGGTCAGTAACCTCTGGGCTTGCCACTCCAGCCTGGGTCTTCTGGCTCCATGGCCAGCTGCTGGCTCCTACAGACCGGATGAAGCTGACTGGAAACACAAGTGGAGAAAGCCCCCAGCTGGCAAAGTCTCAGAGTGTGGTCCTCTGGCCGCTGGCCCTGCCCAGCCTTCCTCATGGAGAGGATGAACTGGCTGAGCAGACTGGCCTCCCGGGGCCCTGGGCACCGTGTACCTCAAGGGGCCAGTCTGCAGACTCCTGTCATGGCTGACCCTGAGACTTGTCTTATGGTCTTCAAGAATCACTGGTCCCAGGTAGGGGACTATATGCCAGAAGGCCTAATTTGCTGGCTTCCTGAGTCCTCCTAACCTCTGCATTCTGTCATTGTCTCATTTAGTCACCTTAGTCATCTTAGATTCCTTCTTTCTTCTGTCTTGTTGTCCAGGTGGTACGAATCCTGGAGCGGCAAGGCCCCCGGGTAGCTCCTGGGGGTGCAGATGATCTCAGTGCTGTGCGCAACCATACTTACCAGATGTTGACGCTGCTGGCAGAGGATCGTGCAGTCCCTTCAGCCCCCACTGCCCCTGGGCCCCTTCTGGAGTTTGCTCTGCGCGAGGATCTGCTAACTCGTGTGCTGGCATGGCAACTTCAATGGGATGGGCTTGGGGATGGGGTTGAAGAACGGCGGGCTGAGCAACTGAAACTATTTGAGATGCTGGTGAGCGAAGCTCGCCAGCCACTGTTGCGCCATGGTCCAGTTCGTGAGGCTCTGCTGACCTTGCTGGATGCCTGTGGCCGCCCTGTGCCCAGTAGTCCAGCACTGGATGAAGGCCTGGTGCTACTTCTCAGCCAGCTGTGTGTGTGTCTGGCCCGGGAGCCTTCATTGCTTGAGTTCTTCCTGCAGCCACCTCCTGAGCCTGGAGCTGCTCCCCGTCTCCTCCTCTTTTCTCTCCTTGTTCCCTTCGTCCATCGAGAGGGCACCCTGGGCCAGCAGGCCCGTGATGCCTTACTCCTGCTTATGGCTCTGTCAGCTGGGAGCCCCACCGTGGGCCGCTACATTGCAGATCACTCTTACTTCTGCCCGGTTAGCACCCCCTGGAATGGTGGGTGGTGGTAGGGTATGGTGTGTGGGCATTGGATAGGAGATGGAGAGGGTCTCTGTATCAGGGCTCTCTCCTCAGGAACTAGTCCCATGGGTTTGAAAGCAGTGCCTGGAGGTGGGATGGGGATGAAACATGGGCTTAGGTGGATAGACCGAATACTAAGGTTCTTCCTAGATGACTCTGAAACATTGGGTAATTAAATACCTGCTCTGGTAATAGCTCTTCCCCTGCTCCAATCAAAACTCTAGTAGCTCCCCTGTTCCTCTGTTTTATGTTGTCTGAGCCTTCATAACCTATCTTTGGGGATGGCCAACAGGTGCTGGCCACAGGGCTGAGTGCCCTGTACTCCTCACTGCCCCGAAAGATTGAAGTTCCAGGGGATGATTGGCACTGCCTGCGACGGGAGGACTGGCTGGGAGTGCCAGCCCTTGCGCTCTTCATGAGTTCCCTAGAGTTCTGCAATGCAGTCATTCAGGTGGGACTGGGGCACCCAATTGGTCTAGCCTGGGGACATGGTGTGGGAGGGGGTGCTTTTTCTGGAGTTCTGCTATTCTGTCATCTTGGGGGTAGGGTGCCTACTTGTACCATTTTTGTACTTTCATCCAGACAGTTGTTCCCCTCACAATCCTCCCACCTCCTTCTTGCACCCCTACAGGTGGCTCACCCTCTGGTGCAGAAGCAGCTGGTTGATTATATCCATAATGGGTTCCTGGTACCTGTCATGGGCCCTGCCCTGCACAAGGTGAGAGTCATGGGTAGCAAGACAGAATAGGGGAATAGGCCGACAGGTGGCAACTTCAATGTCAAGACCAATGTGGGAGACAGTGGGCTAGGTTCTCCTTCCTTCTTTCCCTGTATACTCCTGGTTTCTCCTTAAAACTCAGGGAAAACAGCTCAGTGTATGTTCAGGGAAACCCTAAATTTCCAAACTTTCCCTTCCCTTCACCCAGACCTCTGTGGAGGAGATGATTGCCAGTACCGCCTATCTGGAACTTTTCCTACGGAGTATCTCAGAGCCTGCCTTGCTCCGTACCTTCCTGCGATTCCTGCTGTTACACCGGCATGACACCCACACCATCCTTGACACCCTCGTTGCCCGTATTGGCAGCAACTCCCGGGTATGGCCTTTACCTCTGTCCTGGCTTAGTTGGATGAGCCATCTCTCTCTAACCTTTATTCTGGAACGGTGTTACTGTCCTTCTTTGCCCATTGTCTCCAGCAATTGACTTTAAAGTTGACAGCATTTACTTTCTAGTTATCTAACTTTTAACCATTTTGGGTACAGATTTTAATCTACTCCCCTGCTTTTATAGTTTACGACTCTAGAACACAATTTCCTTTTGTGGATGACTGTGGCTGCTCATTATGGGTATATGTTTTGCCATTGTCCCTACACTTGTGGTGTAGCATTGATATGAGGTTGTTTTTAGCTGTGTAGTGCTCTGTGGTCTGTTGGGGGTGACTCAGGATTACTTTTTTAGGTTTTGTGTCTGCTTTGATAGCTGACCCAGCTGCTGCTGGTATGCTTACCTTTTTTTCCCTTTGAATTTGATGCATTTGAACCGCTGTATTTTGGGGCACCCATCCACCTCCACCTCCCTACTTACATTCCTTCTTCTTGAACATTTCTGTTGAATGTTCACTATGTGCCATAATGTTGTCTAGTACTGAGTATATAATGGTAAACAAGGTAAACAGGGTTGATGACTTCATGAAGCCTTCTGTATAGCTTAATTATGTTGGCCTGACTTTGTAACTTCTGTAGCCTCTTTTGTGACTTAAAGTAAGTCATACTGACTATCCAGTCTGTGTGCCTGACTATTTGTATTAGTTTCCTGTTGCTGTAATGACAGATTACCACAAACATAGTGACTTAAAACAACACAAATTTATTATCTTTATTAGCAAACACATTACTAAAATAATTGAAAATTGTGGTCATTGTAATGAAAAACCAAAACATGGTAGAAAAACAGTCTCTCTGAGGAGTGACATTGAGCTTAGACTTAAAGGTCATGAGGGAGTTAGCTTATTGAAGAGCAAGTGGAAGAACAGTCTAGCCAGATGGAGCAGCACGGAAGGTCAACAAATAGGGGGGAGATTAATGTATTTGAGGAAATGAAAGACCTGTGTGACAGGAGGTGTAGTGAACAAGGGGGAGGAGGGAATGAGATGAAAGTAGAGAAGTAGGTAGGGTTCAGATCATGCATGGCCTTGTAGACCATGGTAAGAAGTTTGGATTTAAACTATCAGAAATATATATAAAATAGGAGTAAATAGTTTCCATATAATAAGGATCTAAAACATTTCTGGGGGAATAAAGCATTAATTTAGCCATGGACTTTCTGGCATTTATTTTGGCTCTAGATCCATTTTTGGTTCCTTCTTTTATTGCAAATAATTGGCGTTCCAGAGGTCCTTGTGTTTAAAACAGAAGTTCTTGGATCACTAAGTGTTCTAGAAAACTGTTCTACATAATTGAGGTACTTGGTAGTAGGTTCCAGGTAGGTGAGCTTCCCAGATGTGTTTTGTATAAGTGAGGTTTCTGAATAGCTAAGTTAGGGTATATATGAGATATTCTTGTCTCCAGTCAGACAAGTGTTTCTGAATCAAGATGTACACTTCCAAATTTGAAAGTGACAATAACTATAAAATAGATTCAAAGCTCTTCCTTAGATCTCTTGAGTTATAATCTTTGGGAATAGGCCTATGACATGCATATTTTTAAAAAATATCCAGAAAGTTATGGTAAATGTCATGGTTAAGTATTTTTGGTTTAAACCAATAGAGAATAGATGTGAAAGCTTGAATTTTACAAAGATATAAAACAATTTTATTTCTCATTATGTTGACATTAGACCATGGTCTTATATCTGTTTGACCTCAAGGAATACCTGTTTATGTTTCAGGACAGTTGATAGTTGATTTCCTTCTTGGGGTTGATTTTCTTTTTTCTGTTCTGGCCTCTTTCCATCTTGCTTTTGTCTTAATCTTATTCTAACTTCTTTGATTCTCCCTCACCGTCTTTAGTCTTTAACATATATTTCAGTGTCACATTTGGTCCCCTGGTCTCAGGAACCTTTTATGTTCTTAAGGTATTTCTTCTTGGTTCCAGGTTCTTGGCGGAACTACATCTTTTCTGATTTCAGGATGCCATGCTGATCATGCAGATGCTTTCCTTTCCACTGTGTTGCCTTTTTAAGCTTGAATATGTTGGCCTGAATTTGCAACTTTTGTAGCCTCTTTTGTGACTTAAAGTAAATCATACTGACTGTCCAGTCTATGTGCCTGACTATTTGATTTAGTTTCCTATTGCTGTAATAACAGATTACCACAAACATAGTGACTTAAATCAACACAGATTTATTATCTTAGAGTTCTGTAGGTCATATGTCTGACACGATCTCTGTGGGCTAAGATCAGTGTTGGTGGGGCTGTTTTCCTTTTTGGGAGCTCTAGGAGAGAAGATCCATTTCTTTGCTCATGCAGGTTTTGGTAGAATTTATTTCATTGTAGTTATAGGACTGAGATGCCTGTTTTTTTTGTTGTTTGTTTGTTTGTTTTTTTTGCTGGCTGTCAGTTGAGGACCATTTCTAGCTTCTAAAGGCTAACCAGTTTTTGGTATATGACCCCCTTCTATCTTCAAAGCCATCAGTGATGGATTGAGTTCCTCTCATTATTAAAATCTCTCTTCCTTTTTTTTGACCCAGCTGGAAAAGGTTCTTTTAAAAAAATTTTATTTATTTATTTTTAGAGAGAGCAGCAGGGAAGGAGAAAGAGAGGGAGAGAAACATCAATGCCTCCCCCACCGCCCCCGACTGGTCCCTAGCCTACAACCCAGGCATGTGCCCTGACTGGGAATCAAACCTGTGATCCTTTGGTTCTCAGGCCGTTGCTCAGTCCACTGAGCTATACCAGCCAGGGCTGGAAAAGTTTCTTTGCTTTTAAGGACTCTTGTAATTTGGTTGGGCCCACCTTGATAAGCCAGGATTATCTTTCCATATCAAATTCCTTAACCTTAATCATCTCTTCAAAGTCCCTTCTGCTATGTAAGTTAAAATTTACAGGTTCTGGACATCTTGATGGGGAGGCATTCACCTTTCAGTGAGTCTGAGTGTTTTCATTGCTAGTTAAAATAGTCATTTAGAGTAAACCTCTTTAACATCTCTGCTGTCTAAAATGTGAACTGCTGTCTCATGTTTCCTACTATGGCTGGCTTTTAATTATTAGTTAGTAAATGTTGAGCACCTGGACTGTGTAGATAGTGCCCTAGACTAAGACCCAAAAGTTGTCTTCAGGGAGCTCAAGGTGTCTGACATACTTACCATAAGGGGAGTTTATAGAATGTGCTATGGGGATTCAGAAGAGTGAGGGAGAGCTTACACGTGTCTATTCTCTTTGCCTATCCAGGGGCTAACCACCCTTCTTCCTTTTCTAAAACAAAAGGTTTCCCCTATTGTGGACCCACTTATTTTTTCCTTTTCCTGTCAGCTGCCCTTGAGCTTTCTTTATCCTACCTTCTGAGAGATAACACTGGTGTTGGTGAAGTGACTCCTGTTCATAGCCCTTCCCATTTCCCAGCTGGTATTCTAGGTTCCCTGTCTCCCAGGTTCGGTAGGCATTCCATTATGGTGCTGCTCCAGTCTCTGATGACAGGCTATTTATCATATTGCTGTTGTCTCCCATCATTTATTCAGTCCTACTATTTCCTTGGGTCTCTTTTCATGGATATTCATTCCATTTAAGCATTGCTGGAATCTCTGCTGACCAGTGAATATAGCGAGAAAGTCTGCTGATGTGTATGGTCTATAGAAATACATTGAATTTGCCACATGGTGTATTCTTCTCTATTAATAGTGAAGTCTTGCCCACAAACATGTGATTATTTATTGAGAGGTTATTATATGCTAGACCTTGTGCATATGGTTCCTTTAGGAGTGGTTGGTTGGGCCTAGGGCTGGGGGGTTTCCCATTTGGTAAACATCTTGGAGGGTAGAGTGCTGTTATGGTGACTCCCTCCTGCCTCCCCCCACCAGCTCTGCATGGTCTCTCTGAGTCTCTTCAGGACCCTACTGAACCTCAGCTGTGAGGATGTCCTGCTGCAGCTGGTTCTCAGGTACTTGTTGGGGCAGGGCTGAGGGGTGGCAGATCATGAATCCTCAGGGCCTTGTGATTGCTGGGGTGATGGGTTGTATTGGGGTTGCTCATGTGTTTCCTATTGGAGCCAGTTCCGTTGGCCTGATGTTCCCCAGACCCTGTCCCTCTTTCCTGATTCAGCCTGTGTCCCTTTTCTGCTATATTTCCCAGGTATCTTGTCCCGTGTAACCATGTGATGCTGAGTCAGAAGCCAGCTGTGCGTGATGTGGATCTATATGGACGAGCAGCAGACAAGTTTCTCTCCCTAATCCCACGCTGTTGTCGGCACCGTGCCCCCAGCCCACCCCGTCCAGAGCATGCCTCGTGGGCACGAGGTGGGCTTAGCAGAGAGTCAGGGAGAAGGGAGGATACCACGGGTATGGCCTGGATTCTGGGGGAGCCTAATAGGAACGGGTGGGGGGAGAGCGGTGGCCATGAGTGGCATTCCATCTTTGCAGAAATCATGAGGGGTCTTGTGAGATGGATCCTTAACTCTACCAAAGAAATTTAGCTTCTGGGCAAAGTTGTTCTTCTCTAATCCAGTCTTTTTCCTGTTTCCATTGTTCCTTTGGTGCTGGTGGTGGCGAGATGGGGTGGTGGATGAGGAAAAGCTTCATTTGGAGGATGGAGAGTCCGTTCTGCTGCCATATTTCCTTCTCTCTCAGTTTCACTGTCTTACCCCTCCTTGTGGACCTCTGTTTCTTTGATCCCACTTATGCTTTTCTCCCATCTGCAGGCCCTGGAAGCCCAAGTGTTGACTCCTCTTCTGTGGTGACAGTGTCCCGGCCCTCCACACCATCTCGTTTGGCCCTCTTCCTGCGACAGCAGAGCTTAGGTGGCTCTGAGTCTCCAGCCCCAGCCCCTCGCTCACCAGGGCTTGCTGCATCCCCAGCTTCCAGCCCTAGTCGACGGCCCAGCCCTGCAGAGGAGCCTGGTGAGCTGGAAGACAATTACCTGGAGTATCTGCGTGAGGCGCGCCGTGGTGTGGACCGCTGTGTCCGAGCCTGCCGTACCTGGTCTGCTCCCTATGATGGCGAGCGGCCACCTCCTGAGCCCAGTCCTCTTGGCTCCCGGACTAAGAAACGTAGCCTACTGCCTGAGGAGGACAGGGACAATGTAGGGGAAGGGGAGGAGGAGGAGCTGGGGAGTGGTGGACTGGCTGGGGGTACAGTGGAGGGCCCCGGCCACCTGCCTCCTCCTCAGCTCAATGGGATGGCAGGACCATGGCCTGAGGGGGCCAAGAAAGTTCGTCGGGTGCCACAGGAGGGAGCTGGGGAACTGCTAGAGGGCACCTCTGAGGGCATGGCAGGACTAGAAGGCTTTGGGCAGGAACTCCGGGATCTGGAGGTGGCATTGAGCAATGGGGGGGCTGGCTCAGAGTCTCCCCTAGAGCCTCCACTACCTCTTGAGGAGGAGGAGGCCTATGAGAGCTTCACTTGTCCCCCTGAGCCCCCTGGCCCCTTCCTCAGCAGCCCTTTGCGGACTCTCAACCAGCTGCCAAGCCAGCCCTTCACTGGTAAGCTACTTACCCTAGGCCTTTTCGTTTGTGTACTCTTTGCATGTTTTCAACATTGTTTGTGCTGGTTTCTGAGACTTCTTGGCCATGTCATTTCTGTGCACTTGCCTAGCTCCTCATCCATTTTGCTTGGGTTCCTTCCAGATACATACCATGTTGTACTTGTGTCTCTGTGTCTGTGTGTACATCTTCCATGCTTGTGCTTTTTTGAGTATTGAATTATGTTTGAGCCTTGTATGTCCATTTTATGAGCATGTTCCTCCTCTTCCCTGCTCTGGCCACTTCCTGGGTTTTGTGATCAGGTTATTCTCTGTTTGGTGTTTCTTTATGATTCACAGCAATATATCTGAACCCTGTGGAAGACATACCTTCCGACCTGTGTATGAGGCATCTCTCTGTAAACCATGCTGTTCCCACCAGTTGTTTGGCTGGGTCTTAGCTGTCCTGTCAGCTCTTCTGTCACCCAGCTCTTCTGATGTTCTCCCACTACTCAGCCCTGGCCTCCTTTCTCCCATCCTCCTCATAGAAGGACTCAATTTCAGGTTTTTCCTGTTCCCTGTCCTTGTATCTTGTTGGTTGCCATGACTGTCCAGTAAAACTTTTTAAAGGATTTGTGGTTAATAGTAAAGGAGTAGATAGAGTGAAATACTTCTTTAGGGCAAATGACAAAGAGTGGCCCTGAGCTCATCAGTTGAGTTCTTTTGGTCTTTTCAGGAGGCCCTTGGAGCTAGACCTGATCTGAGTGGTTGGGCTAACTCCTCTTTTTTTTTTTTTTTTTGTTTTTTTTGTTTGAGAGACACTTCTATCCAGCCCAGCCTCAGCTGGTTCTCATTCTTATTTCACACCCTGTGTGAGGGCGAAGAAAAATGAACAAAAGTACCAGCTGTGGGAAGGAGTATAGTGCTTTGGACTAGGCCTACCTTGAGTTAAGATCCCATCTGTGCCACTGATGCATGTAAATCACTTACTACAGTGCTGGTACATTGTGAGAACTTAGCACATGGTAGCTTTTTCTGAGGATGATTATCTCTGAGTGCATGGCAGATACTAGTTGACCAAGGCAACCACCTACCTTTCTGGTTGTTTGTAGTCAAGTTGTCATGCTTTCATCAGTACCATCCTGCTTGCACAGCATTAGGGATTCTGCTCTAGAGTCCTGATGACTCCCTTTTGCAGACTACAGAAAATATATCTCATGTATTTGTTTTATGTTTGCTTTGCTCCTTCCTGCTCAGTACTACTACAAGGTGGTACACGGTTTTTACCACATTCTTGAGGCATTAATTGAAGTTCTGTCCTTTTACTTCTTTGTGGGCTCATCTGAGCTCTTTGAATTTTCTGTTGGAAAAGTGCCAGGAAATGAGAGGAACAGAAGGACAAAGCTATGAGGTATATTAGGACCCTGTTAACCTAGAGTTGTTTTGGAGCTAAGGCTAGTTGTGTGCATCTGGACTGGAGAATATTCTAGAATCTTTTCCAGGATTCACTGCTTCTTGTTCTTCATTGTCTCCTGTCCCAATTCATAGGGAAGTTCTTAGGTACACTTCCTTTCCTCCATAGATCCCTGATTGGATAGACTGTGATGGTCTGGGGTGCTAGTGCTGGGGCTCTGGCCTTTTTGACCCCGGTTCTCCCAGTGTACTGTTCTAATCCTTTCTGTTATCATCTCCCCCACCACAGTGTCTGCTCTGAATTGTTTTTTTCTGGCTCTGAACTAAGCTCTTTTTCCCCCTACCAATTCTCTTCCGCCTTCTTGATTCCCAGCTCCTGAACAGAGCTGTTATTTTCTTTGGTTCTCTAAAGGTTTCTCCCCAGACTTTCAGTTGGCCCATATAGTCACCTTCTTTGCCTTTGCTACACTTTTTTCTTGCTTTCTTCTTGACCCAAGTCTAATGTTATCCTCTGTTTCTTGTGTAACCTGATTTACCTTTTGGTCCTAATCATTGTCTCACTTGTTCTTTCTTCTGTTGTGCCTCTTGGATGAAGCTTTTTTTAAAAAAAAAAAAAAAACTGGAAAATTTTATGTAGCTTATAGTTATTGAATACTTACAATTTGCTAGATTTTGGGCTAAATGCTTTATGTTAGTCTCTCTTTCATCCTTTCAATAACCTTATAAGGTGGGTATATTTTCTTATTTTACTAGGTAGGAAATTATGCTTGGAGAATTTTGGTTCATCCAATAACTAGTAAAGAGTAAAGCTGAAATTTGAAACCAGGTCAGTCTAACTCCAGAGCCTATGATCTTCATTGGCTCTTCAGCTCACGTGTGTGTAAAGTTAGTATCTGGACTCTTCTTGTGGGTCCATGTGGTGCTTGTCATTTTATAGTCTCCAGAATAGGTGGTCACAGGGTATTTAAACATACCCAGATACTTGACATACAAATAATTTTTATCTAGTTGGGGGGGTCTCTTGTTTTTGGAAGGAATGAGTGCGATGTGCATTGTGTTCAGGCCTTGTATCCTTGTGCCCACCTCCCCCAGGCCCCTTCATGGCTGTGCTCTTTACCAAACTCGAGAACATGCTGCAGAACTCCGTCTATGTCAACTTCCTGCTGACAGGGCTGGTGGCCCAGCTGGCCTGTCACCCCCAGCCCCTGCTCCGCTCTTTCCTGCTCAACACCAACATGGTCTTCCAGCCCAGTGTCAAGTCCCTGCTGCAGGTGTGCGATGCATGCATGCATGGGTGCGTCCAAGGTCCATGGTGGGCCAGGCCCGCAGCTGGAGTGACCCTGGGGGGCTGGGAACAGTCCCAGTGGGACTAGAAAGGACTGTGTCAGTCCAGAGTTACCCAGAAATTTCATGAAGTTGTGCTTCCTAGGTGTTGGGCTCTGTGAAGAATAAGATTGAGAGCTTTGCAGCCTCCCAGGAGGACTTCCCAGCACTGCTCTCCAAAGCCAAGAAGTACCTCATTGCTCGTGGCAAGTTGGACTGGGCTGAGGGCCCTGCAGCTGGACCTGCTCCTCGCCGCTCTGATCCTCTAGGTGAGGCCTGCCCCACTTCCCTCTCCTGACCCTCCCTACTAGTTAATTAGCCTAGATTAACTGAACACTTATTAAGGGTGAAGCCTTATACTGGGTACTGGGAACTTGAGTCTTGGTGTTTGTTCTCAGGCTCTGGTCAGAAGATGATATTACTTCTATCTACCAAGAGCCAAATCAGCAGAACTGCTTTAATAGTTGGAGACAGGCAAGAGGACAGCATAGTCTCTAGGTTACATATTGTTACAGCTTGGTAAAGGACGTGGCATTTGACATGGACCTTGATAGATGGGTAGGACTTGGATAAGAGTAGGATGGCCTTATTCTTTTGTTTAGGGGGCAGCATGAACTATTTGGTTGGAGCAGGGGATTTGGAAGGTAGTGGCACACTTAGTTGGTAGAAAGTCTGGAAAGATTTGTCCAGAGCAGAAGGTTCTCAGAGTGGTGTTTGGGCTGGGTAGTTGTGACCTTCCTAGGCAGTGAGAACCTGTTGGAGGCTCTTAGATCTGGGAGTGCAGAGATTATTATATTCATGTACTAGGTGAATTGGAGCTAAGGAAAAAGATGGTTAGGTCGAGCAGTCAGGATGTGACCTTTAAGGCTTGAATTAGAATAGTAGAAATAAAAAGGAAGAATTTGATAAGGTGCAAATGGGATGGAAGTATTGGCAAAATTTGGTGAGTGGTTGTGGGGTACAAGGAAGAAGGACTAGTTAAATACGACTGTGAAATTTTAAATCTAGATCTTTCATCAGCAAATATCTGAACACTGCCGTATGTGCTATGTATTGTCCTTGGTATAGGGGACTCAGGGAGGTATAAGATGAGATTCCTGCCTTCAAAGAGCTGACAGTCTAGAGACTAGAGGAATGTCATAATCAGGGAAGCAAGGTCTCTAAGGTGGTGTGATCCAGAGCAGCAGGAAAGGATTAACTTTGGATAGGAAAAGATTTTTTCCTTTTTTGAGTCAAATGAGGAGAGATCAAAGAAGGAAATGATATGTACCAAAGGAGTTGTGAGGTATGGAAGGGAAAGTTAGGGAATTGAAATTGTCCTTTGTTAATCAAAATAGGAGGCAAAATAATATGTCAAGAGTGAGAGAGCAGATGTAAGATGGAGCTTAAGGAAAAAAGTGCATGGGTTGGTAAGAGAGTGCCAGAAGGGCTATTATGCAGCTGTGAAGACCCCGTGAAGTTCCTTAGCATGATTTTCTGATGGTCTAGTACTGTGACTATTTCTTGTTTCCACATTCCCGGTACTGTGTTTTCTGTGAAGAGTCCAGGGATACAAACGTAAATGACACAGAGCCCAAGCCCTTAAGCTCACAGATTAGTACATAATGAGGTAGATGACCTGTAAATGAATTATTGATACAGTATGATTAGGGCAGTGAAATAGGAAGTCAGTGGAGATTTCTTAGAGAGGTGGGGATAGTGAAATGAAGCCAAGACTGAAAACAGTAGAGAACAAAATCAAGGCAGAGGGGATTACAGAAGCATGTCTAGAGCTTGAAGGGTTCCAGGAAGAGCAGATAGGTGGGGCCTAGAGTTTTGAGAAGAGATTGGAGTAATGTGAGTCTAGTTTTGAAGGGTTCTGAATGCCAAATTTAATAGATCTGACTAGCATCATTCTGCAGTCAGTATCAGAGGTAGAGAATGGGGACCATATCATGATCTAGACTCGAGACTAGATTCCTACAGTGTAGGGTCTAGATATGAATGTTGATCCAGAGCCAGGGATTTAGAGAATTAGAGAAGAGAGGTCAATATTTTAAGTGGCTCATTTGAGGCCAAGCTGACATGAAGTTGTTTGGCCACAACCAGTGGGAAAGTGGCTTTGGTGAATATAGGAGAGGGACTGGTAGAAGGCGAAGTTGCACAGGAGAGCAGATCTTGGAGACAGTGGAGGATGACAGAAATGATAAAGTGTCTGAAATATATGATTGCATATATAGCCTCTGTGGGTATTGAAGGAGCAGAGGATGTGGGTCATACAGATGATAGAGAGGAGGTGATACAGATAGGCAGGGCAAAGGTGGAAGTGGTTGACTCTAATTCAGGAGAGTGGTAGGAAGCATGAAGTAAAAGCATGTTATGGACTAAGGAGAAATAAGGTTATGGAAGAATAGTGACTGGAAAGAGGAGAGGTAACAGAATCCCTCAGGGTGAAAAGGAAGGGATCTTGGTTGGGAATGAAGTGGCTGAGGTGTTGACTTATTGAGAAGACTGAGGATGGTTTGCTGGGTGTGGAGGCTGGATAGAGGGCAGGAGGCTGGGCAGTCAAGAAGTCCATGCACTTAGCAGGTGGGGAAGTTTTTTCTCTTAGATCAAGGGGCAGTTTGCCTGACCTCCACACCTTCATGATATCCGTTTATTTGCAGTGAAGAGCCGGAGGCCATCCTTGGGGGAGTTGCTTCTGCGTCATGCACACAGTCCAACCAGGGCCCGACAGGCAGCACAGCTGGTTCATCAGCCTGGGAGAGACGGCACAGGACTTGGCCTAGGTGGGGGTTCCCCTGGGGCTTCAACTCCGGCTGTACCCCCCCGGGGTGGAGCCACTGAGCGCCAAGGTGAGGCTCTGCGAGTCAAGAATGCTGTCTACTGTGCAGTCATTTTCCCTGAGTTTCTCAAGGAGTTGGCTGCCATCTCCCAGGCCCATGCTGTCACCTCACCTTTCTTGTTGGATACTTCAGAGGAGGGAAATATCCTTCCTGTCTCAGACTTTGGGTCCCTGGATCCTTAACTTTCTTCCATGCACAATCAGGGCCTTGAGTGGCCTGGGTTGGGGCCAGGGTACAGGCTCCTTTTTATGTTTGGAGGGAGTGGCAAGAGGACTTTTTAATTTATTTCAGATGAATGTTTTATGGAGAACTTGTTGCAATATGTATAAAAGGGAAATCTCTATTCTGTGTTCATTCTTCTTTCCCACCCTTTTTCTATGGGGCTGGGCCTCAAAAAGATTGTACGCAGATGGGGAGGTGGTCAGTCAGGGATATTTTCTTTCTGGTGAGAAGGTTGATGCCAAGGTTTCAAGGTATTCTAGGCTGGCACGCAATCCACTGAGCCAAACAAGTCAGGGCTGTCAAGGTTATTCCTTATTCCCTCAGAGGGTGAGGGAACTCAAAGCCTAGGGAAGAAAGTAGAGACTCTCTCCCTTGACTAAGCCCCAGAAAGAAGAAGCAGCAAGGGCCCAGGATGGTTTGGGGGAGCAGCAGCTGATGTTTATTGGGGACCAATATCCCTATGCCAGATCTTGGGGGCCTTGCCCCCTGCATCTCTCGCTGCAGCTTCAGTCGTCGCTGTCGAACTCCGAGGACAGACCCTGCAGCAGGGGCAGGGACATGGAGTGCCGGTCGGGGTCCCCGGGGCCCCCACCCTGGGCTCCTGGTGGGGGGCTGCGGGGGCTGAAGAGCCAGTTTTCTGCCAGGGTTGGGGATAGTCACAGATTGACTCATGCCCTGGTCTTTTTGCCTCCCTGTTCCCTCCCTGTGGTTCTCTGTGCTGTGCCCACCCCCACATCAAGACCATGCTTCCATTTCACTGTCCCCTGGTTCCCTCCATGTCCCTCACCAAGGTTATGGGCGTCCCACACATTCCTAGGCTATATTCCTCATGGTTTCTTCCCTACCTTGCATGGTCTCTCCCTCCCCCAATGCATGTCCCATCCATTTCATCTTCATTTTCCCCAGTAGTACCTGACAGCATCTGGGGTCCCCTTCGGAATGGGTTTCGGCCCTTGTAGGAGACTCTGGTGAGTCTGCCCTCTGGCCCTTCCTGGGGAGGTGGTGTAGAAGGGGCTGGGACAGGTGGGGGCACATCAGCAGCTTCAGGGATGTTGTCAGGGATTGATGGGGGCGCCTGAGGTGGCATGATGTTGAGGTTGGGTCTGACCCAGTTAGTCCCATGGAGCAGTGGGTCTTTGGCCAGGGCCTTTTGTGGTCCTAGCACTCCCTTGGGATGCAGTGAAAACTTGAGGCATGAGAAGGCAATAGGCAGTGACCGTTGTAACCGGAGCATCTGGGGCTCATGGCCTGTAGGCCATAACCCCAGCTGCATCCAGGAACAGGAGAAGACCTGGTAGATGATATAGATGCTGTGGGTGCTTCGGAGCCAGGGAAGAGTCTTCTGTAGGCTCACCTGGCCAGGTGGCAGCAACAGGAAGGCCACCTTCTTGCGTAGGCCACCCATATGTAGGCGGATCCGGCAGGGCTGTCCATCTAAGAGTCGCATTTCTTCATAGGCTGTCTCTGCCCCTGTGTTTGGTGAGTATTCCCGAGTGCAGTGGGAAAAGGCACCCTCAGACCCTGCCTGCTCCAGGAGGCTCGGTAGTGGTCCAACTGGTTGCAGTGCCCGACGGCCCTGCCGACCTGTCAAAGCCAGGCGGGTGTGGCCTGGACGGGACTGCTTTACTAGCACTCCCAGTAGGTCATAACAGGTTGCATCCGACAGGAAAGGTACTGCCACTACATTGGGCCCAAAGCGCTCTTCGATAACCTGCAGGTAACCAGTTTATGGGACTGGGTTAGGATCAGGAGTTCACCTGGTAGCCTTTTCTAGATTGACCCTCCTACTGTCACTGTTCAATTACATCTCCACAGTGTGCTCAGACTGTCCTACTTCTGCTTACTTCACAGTTCTTTCCTGTAGCAAAACCTTGAATGTTTACTATGTGCCAAACTCTGCTAGATACAGGGGATACATAAAAGAATGAAACTTTGTCCTTGTCCTAATATAGCTCAGTCTAATAAAGGAGACAAAAATTTAAACAGTAGTCAGCTAAGTAAACTAATAGCAAGATGTGGAGATTAGAAGTGATTTAACAGCCTTTGTCTTTGATAGAAGGGAATCAAAGAAGGTTTCTACATGATAATACTTGAGCCAGGTAGGAGAATGGTCAGTCCAGGAAAAGGGAACAGCCATTGAAAAAAACCTGTGCTTACAAACTAAGATGGGCACATTCAGGAACATGTAATTTCCTGTTGTGTAAATGTAGGGTGTGAGGATGGACAAATATACAGGAACTTGATTATGAAAGGCCTGTGTGTATGCTAAGTGATGGGAATTTTATCTTGAGGACAATGGGAAGCCACTTGAAGGGCTCGAGTTAGGGACAGAATCAGATAAGCATTTTAAAAAAGCTAATTTTGAATAGGATGGCATAAAATAAGGATAGATAGAAAAATCAGTTGAGTATTATAATGTGCCAGGCAAGACATGGTGAGCCCGTTAACTAAAATATGGGGGAAGTTATTTAGGTTATAGAATTACAAATTGGTCTCTTAATGGGTGTGGAAAAAGGCTTCCTCAAGGATTATTCTCAGGTGATTAGTTGGATGGGTGATGTCATTAACCAAGAATGGGTGTACAAAAATAGGTGTGGAATGTCCATTCTTATTCTCTCTGTCATTTCTTAATATACACCTGTCCAAGCGGCAGAGGGTAGTTCTTTTAGGGACTTGAGGCCTAATCTTTGTCACACTAGTTCTAGTGTGCTTTTAGGGATTCCAGTTCCTTTTAGTTTTGTCCTTTTTGTCTTGGCTTTTTTGGGTTTGGTAACCTAATTCTGGAAAGTTTAGCATCATTACCAACTGGGGAACCCTGTGAGATCCTCTCTAGTAATTGTACTTAGGTATGATAACTCAAACAGGATATTTTGGCTGAGACTTCTGGCTCCAGGTTCTGCTAGGAAGCATACAAAATTCCTTCTTTGGCCCCCTTTCATGTTAGACCCTACTCTTCAAAAGCTGTGTGCTCTACTCTCTTCCAGCCCCCCAAATCCACATGTCTGTCCCTGCTAATGGCACTGTCTACTTGACTGGCCTTGTGGAATTCACCAATGGTCTCTTAAGTCTGATCCGCTTTTTACCACATAGTCACTTTGGCAGTGCTGCCCCCTAGCATAAGAGGGGAGGGTAGCTATAACTTGTGTCTACTTTGGACAAGCTGAGGTAACTTGAAGGCTACTGTGTTTTGTCATCCAGCTAAGGAAGTAACTGGTGCTCTTTCTTGGTGGAAATTGTACATGGAAGAATTTCCCAACATTTCTTCTCCTTTGCCTCACTAAGACATGGAATGCTTATTTTTGGGTAAGGGTATCAGGTAGGAAAACAGGACTCTGAGAAATGCCAGTTGGGTTTCCAGGGGTGGGAGCAGAGTACTGATAGGTTGGCATGTCTGTATAGAATGCTCTGCCCCATGACAACGAGAGCATAGTCTCCAAGCATAACTTAGGAATCTTACCCTGCAGAGGTGTCCAACCCATGGCCCATAGGCTGCACGTGGCCCAGGATGGCTATAAATGTGGCCCATCACAAAATCATAAATTTACTTAAAAAACTTTTTTTTTTTTTTTGCCCATTAGTTCTCATTAGTGTTTGTGTATTTAATGTGTGGTCCAAGACAACTCTTCTTCCATTGTTGCCCAGAGATGCCAAAAGGTTGGATTCCCCTGCCTAGCATTTCTCCAGAAGAGGTCCCTCTCACAACTAGAGTGACATTTAAACACCTGGTTCTTAAGGTCCTGGTGTTTGCTAAAAGGTGAAGTTAGCTGGAGACTCCCTGAGTTAGCTGGAGACTCTCAGAATATAGACATGAATTTGCCATGGAAGTCTATTAGGTCCTTTTTCTTACCCTTGAGGGCCAAAGTGGTTATCCTAAAACAAGAATAATGGGTTGCTCAGTTCTATGCTAGGGTGACCGTGTTCTTGGTAGAATCACCATTTGGGATCACCACCTGTTCCCACTGCAGTTTTATTTCTAGGTGGAAGTTACATGGAACTTAGAGGCCTGTAAATTTAGCTCTCCCAGGGGCAGCTCAGGAGAGTAATGGTGGGCAACTATCTTCTTGAATGCACTTTGAGAGGCTTGAATTCTGAATGGTTAGCTCTTAAGGCACACTGTGTTTAGCTAATGTTGTACAGAGTGCCCAATAAACTTAGCGGTTCTGGAGAGAGGAAACCGGGTCACTCAAAGGTGCCCTAGTCCTTGAATTTGTCCCACCACAAGTGATTTGTCCTACATACCTCTACCGTGACTTTCCAGCAGTTTTCTGTTTAAATAGGATTGGAAGTTTTTCTGATACTCAGAGATGGTGTAGCTTTCTAACAGTGAAAGATTTCATTTACTTTCACCCTAATTTTGATTGATATAGTTTGAGACTAATTCTGTACTCTAATACCAGGGAGGACCCTGACTCATGTTTCTGCTTCTCTGGCAAGCTGACCTTTGTGGTGAGCAGCTAGTTCATTTTGAATGGGAGCTATGTGACCTTAAGGCTGCTTTGAATATGGTTGTTTTAAACTTGGTGATCTGACTTCTATAAGTGCTTTAAATTTATTCTCCTTCAGATCACAGAACCTGATCCCTATATTCTCATCTCAGAATGTGTGGTCTACATTTGTTGAGATTTGTTGGCTACCTGCAACTTAGATACAGTTAAGATCTGCCTGCTCCTTGAAATCTACATATTTGGCTCAAAACCCAAATTGCTCATTCTGTGGACAGAATATCCATGAAGAGGTCAAAGGTAAAGTTCAGGTTCTTTAGAAAGCTTAAAACGCCTTTCATAACCCCTTTGACCTTATTTTTATCACTAGTCCTTTGAATTCTGCTTTATAGGTCTATTGTACTTCATAAATCCTCATTTTTCATTTTCCTCTCCTGTCTTTGCATATGCTCTGCCTGTAATTAGTACACTGTTAGTGTAATTAGTACACTGTTAGTGTACTAATTAGTTCACTCACCCACCCACTGCTCATGAACTCATTCAGGTGTTTATTAAGCACTGTTGACATGCCAGGTATTCCTCTCTTGTATGTATGAATAACTCATACTTGCCCAGCTAGAATGCCCATTCTCTTCAGGAAGCCTCCTGACCTCCTATGTCCTGCCCCTGACTTAGTGCTTCTTCTCTTTGCTCACATAGGTCTCTATACATTCAAGGAACTTTTCTTACTGCTTTCCCAATTGTGATTCAATCAGACAGTCTGTGCAAAGCCCTTAGCGCAGTGGCTGGCCTATAAGAAAGCACTGATTGTTAGTTATTATTATCTTTAGTCTTCCTTACTCAGAAGCTACTCAGTCCCATCCAGGCCACACTTTAGCCCTCTTACTTGACCTACCTTATCTTTGATGAGGGTCCATGTGGCATCGGCTTCATCAAGTGTTAGCAGGTGAGGGGTACCAACCAACATGGTGGGATATGGGAGGGGTTAGGCAGGGCAGTGGCTGCTGCAGGAACCCCAAGGCACCCAGGGAGGTGAGGCCTGGCCTTAGGCTCTGACCTACTACAGCATGAGGTCATAGAGATCCTGCTGGGTGATGGGGCCTTGGGTGGGGAGAGGGCAGTCACTTTCCTAGCCTCTCTGTTCTCACAGCCTGAGTCCATTCTCTTGTCACCTATATATTCTTCTGCTTTAGGAGAGGAAAATTCAGGTACCTGTTAGATTGTCTGTATGTCTGCCTCTGTGTGTGTTCTTTAAGGAAATAGGATCAGTTCTCTCCTTCCTTCAGCAGCCTCCTTGAAATAATTTGATACGCTATCTTGTCACCTGGAGATGACTTCTTTGTGAGGTTGCATTGGGATCCTAAAGCACATTGGGGTCCTGAGAAGGACGGATCAGAACTTAAACTGAGAATCAGGTAGTGGTTCTCAATCTTGACCCTACTTTGGAATTACCCAAGAGCTTTAAAAATTACTTATGCCTGCATCCTAGCCCCAGAAATTCTGATTTAATTGGTCTGAGGTGTGCCTGGGCATGAAGATTTCTAAAAGCTCCTCAGGCAATTTTAATGTGCCTCCTGGGTTGAAACCTATTACTGAGTGGGCTACAATTCCAGTGAAAACCAAGTGTGTGTGTAGGAGGGTGGCATGCTGGGGGTTGGCATGCTGAACAGTGACAATGTGGAGGATAAGAATCTGATTGGGATACTGCTACCTTAGTAATTGGAGAGAAGTTTAGGGAAGCCAGGATTACCCAAGTAAATTTGTGGACATTTTTCTTTGTGTTCCACTCCCTGTGCTAGGTTGATATGTGTCTAGAATGTACTCTTCCACTATAGCCCTAATCTATGTGTGATTTCCCCTTGTGTCTCTGTCTAGAGATTTCAACCTGCTCTTTTGCTGGGAAATAGTGGTTTTCCCCAAGAAGATCCACTCTAGAGAGCCTTTCTGGTGGCTACACTTCCATTCTGCCTCTTATCTATCCAAAGAGTTCTCTAGTGAGTCCCTCTGCAGAGTCTCCTGTGTGCTGAGGAAGACCTGTTGTGTGTGGGGTCTTCCCTGTCCTGTCTCAGCAGGTGGAGCCATCCCCCAGAGTCAGCCATCATCTGAGCTGGCCGAGCTAGTATGAATATGGGGCACAGGAAAGGGTCCTACATTGGTAGGAGAGAGTGTTGCCAAGAAAAGTTTCCTAAAAGATGTTCCTGGGCAGGTCTCCCTAGACAGAGCTAGGGGTGTGGGTACCAGGTACTTGAGCAAAGGGATGACAGTGGGCATGAGCCTATGATCCAGGAGAAGAATTAGTATCAAATATTTGTTGAACTCTTATGTATAAGGGCTGTGCCAAACACTTCGAACATATTGTCTTAGATAATCCTTTTAGTAACCTCTTGAAGTAGGACCTATTATTTCCCCATTTTACAAGTGAAGGAACAGTTAACCACTTTGAAGTGGTTAAATAAATTAGTACAAGTCTACCTGATTCCAGCTCTTAACTATTAAGCAGCAAGTCATTCCTTTGGGTGAAGGGATAAACCAACATGTTCCTTCTTGCCTGAGTGTGTGGTGGGAGGGGTGCATGCTAGATGGAAGTGCAAAGTTGTGGAATGAAGAGGAAATGGGTAGGATGGGAGAACAACTGCGATAGACCAAATCAGAAACCCCATTTCCTGTTGAGACAAGTGAAACCAAATCTCTTCCTCCAAAGACCCCATTTTTTTTTATTATGGTTGACAGGGAGAGGCCACCTGGTATAGTATGGTTAGTACCTCTGTTCTTTGCAGAAAGGAATTCTGAGTGAGGGAGACAGAGGTAGAGACCGAGACACACAAGGACAAGAGACACAGACATGGGGCAAAACATGGAGACAGAGATGCAGAAGTACAGAGGTGATGAGAGTAATTGATACATGGGGGCAGAGGATGGTGCACACCCATATGTTGAAGAGGTTCCGGAATGAGAAGGGCCTGGATGAGGTAGGTACAGGGATGATGAGCTCTTGGTAAAATCAATTGAGGACCTCTTTTGGATTTTTGTTCATAGAGGGGGCGGAAGGGAAATTGATGAACTCTGCACCCCGAAACCCATACCTCTGTCTTGTCTTTTGCTGTCTGATTACCATGACCCTTTAGGTTTCCTAAATTCCACACTGTCCTATTCTGACATTAAATAAGTCTTTGTTTTTGGCTTAGAGTCAGACGAAAGTTGAAGGAAAACATACCAGCTGAGTTCTGGATGCAGATGATGAGCCCCATGGCTGGGCTTTGTGGGCCATATTCTGCTTATGGGGTCTACCTTCAGGGTGGCATGTTCTGGGGCTTCCTTGGGGAGAAAACATCATCTGCAGCACATGGGGTGACAAGAGTGGAGAGCATGAGGGCAGCCAACTGGTGGAGACTGATTATCCAGAGAACATGAAGTTCTCTACAGGCAGCCTGTAGGACAGGATGTAATAGTGTGGACAGCAGAGACTTCAGAGTGATAAAGAACCTTGAGTGAAGAGTGATAACACAACTCTTCACTTCTTTCAGGTTGCAGGGATAATTGTATATGTTTCTAATTCATCTCTATTTGAAAACTTTAGGGGTAGATGTGTTTTGCAATTCAGAAATTTGTAGATTTTAGAAAGTGAATATAGTGCTCTCATGTAAGAGACACAGACATGGGCAAAACTGATGGACAGAGCAAGGAGGAGGCAGAGATGCAGAGGTACAGAGATGCTGAACCAGTGAGGTTCAGGGCAGTGCCCTATAATCAAACACATCAGTATATCTGAAGCTAAATGTGAATAGTCATGCTTAGATAAATGTAAGTATGATTGTGAACGATTCAGGTGAGGTTCTGGGCCAGTTATGAACAAACTTGTTTCTTCACAGATTTTTAAATTTTGGAATTACAGATAAGGGATTATGGTTTTATAATTGTTCTCAGGTTTTAAGGAGCACGAGAGTGCTGGTAAAGCCATCTGAACACATCACATAGTGGGTATGTATACAATCTCAATCCAAAACAAAATAATCAGTGTCCAAGGGGGTGGATATTTGGCTTGTAAGGAAGAAAGTTCTTACCATGAGTAATAACACACCTTTGGAATCAGCTGCCTTGGGAGTTGTGTACAACCAGGGGGCAAAAGTGCCTTAGAAGAGAGGCTTCCTCTGCTGGGAGGGTGATAGAATTCATTGCTTATGAACATTGGCTGCCTGTGATGTCCCTTTTTATGCACCAGAGGGGGGAGGCAAAAAATGGTGTGCGTGTGTGTATGTGTGACAAAGGACTGTCACATTTTTTATAATAAATATCTTATTGCATACATCTTTGTTCACATCTCTAATTATTTTGTCAGAATAAATTTATTGAAGAGGAATTCTTCAAGAGAAGGGTATGGACATCTTAAAGACCTGTGACCCATTGGAATTAGAATTTTGTCACAATTATCCACAAAAATTGTCTGTAGGGTTTCTTAACTCTGAACTTCATGAGAATGACTGAGCTCACACTTGGATTGAGGAAAAGTGTAGATTTCTTCCTTTTCCTCTTCGTTTCAATGGGACAGCATCTCTGAAAAATCATAGCTTCTGGGCTATCCAGTTCCTTGAAGTGAGGACCTCATGAGACCCCATGCAGCCGTGTAGATGGCATTCACCTGCTTTTGCAGATCTGCGGCCTTGTGTCATATATCCCATGGCATGTGGTCCAGCTATCTGCTGAGTGGTCAGGGTTGCACCTGGCTTCATTAGGTCTTCATGGTTAACTCCAATACTTGTGGTTATGATAGTTTCCCTGGAGTGCTTGGTCTGCTTCTGCAGCCTGCAGCCTTCTATGACCTCATAAGAGTGACTCCCTGCTTTATGTCTGAGACTATACTTGTTCTGGACTCCATGCTGGAGTGAAAGATATTTTGTGCAGTTTCCTTCTTAGTGTGGAGTGGAAAGTGAATCTCCTGTTGGGCAACATTGTGACACTTCCTGTTAATATATCTAATTCTCTGGCAGCCAAAGCCATGTGACATATTCCTATTTCATCATATTGCACCAACATTGCTCCTGATGATGTTGGCCAGGACAAATGGGGTTGCTGATGAGGATTTTATCTGGGATTTCTACATTCTTGGCTCAGGACGCGCAAAAGGGCAGATAGGTAAGGGACCATAGGGGCCTCAGGCAAATAGGTGAAGTGGTTTCAGTGGTTTTCTGGGATATCAAAATTTATTTCAGTTGGACTCTTGACCCCTGAATCTACCTACAAGCCCAGGGACAGAAATTCTAGCCATTAAATCTTGAGACTTTGGCAGTGGAGTGGGGAGTAGCAGAGGTAGAGATTACACACGAGACCAAGAAGATTCTGAATGGGAGTATCTTTAAAGATCAGTGTTCTGTTGAAACTGGGGCCCCAGGACACATTACCCAGATTCTGAGAGGATGGGGGATAAGCCTGTATGACTCCTTCCCTAAGGACTGGCTGAAACAATCTGGCTCCAGGAATAGAGAGGGCTGTGATGCCTGATAAGTACTAGTCTCTAGAGGCAATGTCCCTCTTCCCAGACCCCTAGATTTAGAGTCTGCAGAACTTTTGAGAGGGAACATGGGCACACTTAGTTAAAATGATGTAGAGAGGCATGAAGGGGAGTTGAAGTTAAATCTTGTGTGTCTGATCCTGCAATAATTTCTGATCTTATTTTTTCTGCATGGCAACACACAGTCCCCTGTCTCCTGCCTGCTCCCCAAGCAGGGTATGTGGCTGGGCCAAACACATTTTAGTGGTACACAGAGTAGGGGCTTCACAGCAAATATCTGTCGAGTGATCAGCACAGTCATATACAGATAATGGGACTAATGACATAATCCATACCTCCAAACCTCAGATTGTCTCAATGTCCCCCCAGCTCCACCTCCAGACTCCACTGTTTGCACTGACCATTAGAATTTGTATTTTCTGAATGTTAAAGTTTCCAGGAGCCGGTCCCTGATCTGCCTGGTGCGCGCCCCATAGATGAGAGGGTTGAGGGCAGGGGGCAGCAGCAAATAGATGTTAGAGAGAAGGATGTGCATGGGCTTTGGGACAGTGTGGCGACCAAAACGGTGTGTGAGGTAGGAGAAGAGACCAGGTACGTAGAAAGCCAGGATGACGCAGATATGGGAACTACACGTACCAAAGGCCTTAGCCCGGGCCTCCTTGGTAGGCAGCCGCAGCACAGCATGGGCAATGAGCCCGTAAGAACCAGTGATGCCCAGAATATCTAAACCTGATATGGCCAGTGAAAGTGCCAACCCATACAAGTTGTTGGCCCGTGTGTTACCCACCACCAGCTCCACCACTGCCATGTGTGCACAATAGGCATGGTCTATGGTCTTGGCTCGGAAGTGTTCAAATCGTGCCACCAGCAGAGGGAAAGGCACAACAATAGCCACAGCTTTCAGTGCCAGTGCCAGAGCCACATAGCCCACACGAGCTTTGGTGACTAGGATAGGGTAGTGCAGTGGACGCCCTACTGCCACAGCACGATCACAGGCCATGGCCAGTAGTACACCAGATTCCACGGCCGTCAGTGCATGGACAAAGAACATCTGGACCAGGCAGGCAGCATATGGCACAAGGCGGGGCCCGAGCCACAGCACAGCCAGCAACCCTGGGGCTATTGATGTGGCTAAGCCCAGGTCTGTGGCTGCCAGTGTGGCCAGGAGCAGAAACATGGGCTGGTGCAGTGTGGAATCTACCTGCACCACTGCCAGCAATGCTCCATTGCCCAGCATTGCCAGCAGATACATGGGCCCAAAGACCAGTGTCAGCCAGGCCTGGGCAGCCCCTAGGCCTGGAATGCCAGTCAGTAGGAAGAAGGCTGGGCATGGGGAGGTGGAGTTGGGCGGTGGAGCTTCTGCCATCCTGTGGGGGTCAAAATTTTAGGGCTCATGGGAGCATGAGTCCTGACGGGAAGGACAGGGATTTTGGGGGTGTCATAGGTGTGCAGACCTATCCATAGAGTATGTGAAGGGCTGAGATGATCACAGGGTTATAATCTTTAGTCGGGGTTTTGAATGGATAATCAAGGTCATAACCCTAGCTGGACGGGAGAACCCTCTACACTCGGAAGCCCATGACTGTAGAGGAAAAAATGGGAGTTGTACTGAGGAAGTTGGGAAGGTCACTGCTGTAGTCACTGATAAAATCAGAGCCCTTTAGTTGAAGGTCAGCCGAGAGGGAAGCTGAGAAGTTTTCTTCCTCAGTGTTCAAAAAGACTCAGTCTCAGTCTCAGGTGATGGGGAGAAAGCCAGCGCTGTGTGGGGATCAGGTTTTAGCCTCCTCCTGTCCCTACTGTGTCCTTAGGCACAACTTCTGGGTGTCAGCTTCATCTCAACAATGGACAGATGCTTAAGTATTGCTTAGCTTTAACATTCTGGGCACTAACTCTCCAAAAAGAAAGGGGGAAAGTAGAGAGAAAGGGAGAAAAGGAAGATGAGGTAGATGGAAACTGGAATGAAGCTGGAAGCTGGTGTGACTGGAGAAAACCGGTAAGCTTTTGGGGTTTGGGGTGCTTACATTTTCTTTAACTTGCTGAAATAGCGAACTTGGCCACCAGCTGGAGAGTTGAAGTTGGGCCTCGGAAGCAATGTGGAAAGAGATAGCAGAAAAGGAACTTCTCTCTTGTCCTTCTTTACGATCCAGAGGGGGTGTTCCACTACAGTGTCTTTCCTGGTATGCGGGGAGGAAATGGCACTCAACCCGGAGTAGCAGCCATACGAGGAGGAAGCATCTCTCATGCTGGAGGAGTCAGGGTGAGTCCAACCGATTCCTCCCAGAATCTAGCCCACAGCAGAAGCTAATGACTGTTGAATGAATAAATGGAGGAACAAAACACTAGCAGAAGACTTGACTGGGGAAAGATCCTGAGTAAGGTGTGTTGGCAGCTTCTCTTTTCTTTGACCTGTGCCTATAGGGCCCTTTATGTGGCTGTTCTTGTACCTGCTTCCCTCAGGGCCCTTACCCCTCCCACCTGTGCCACATTAACTCTTTCCTGTGCTGTCTTCACTCAGTGCTGACAGGCCTGGTAACTCAGGAAGTAGAGTAAGGAGGCAGAGATGGGGAAACAAAGAAAGGGATTGACTTGGAAGGTGGTGGAAAGATCTGGGAAAGAGGAACACTGCCTATGGGAGGTCTTTGCTTTGTTCTTTAATAACATCCCCTCTATTGTAATTACTTGTCTTTCTTTTTCCCACTAGACTGAAAGAGTTAGAGGCAGTGCTTCTTACTAGCCTCAATCTCCACTGCTCATCACAAAGCCTGGTGTGTAGTTGTCTATGAATAACTATTTATTGATTTTAATTATGGGACAGAAGTGCTGGCTAAAACAGTTTGCTGATTAACAGGGGCTTCTACAGTTTCAGGTGCCTTAGGTATCCATGGAGATGAGAAAGAAAGAATTAGTCACCATTAACCACAAGTCTACAGAGTATGATTCTTTCTGCTATAACAAAATACATTCTAAAAATCACCATACTATGCAACACAATGCAAAAAACAAAACAAAACAAAAACCCCAAACAAAAAAAACACAGGGCTTACAGGACAAGTGGGAGGAGGGGGCACAACATTCAAAACTTTGTCAGTGACATACTTAAAAAGGATAGGAACCTAATAAAAGTGGTAGCACATGTTAAATGATTAGAAAGTACATAAATGTACCAATAAATATGACACTTCACCTTGAAAAAGACCTGGAGTTCTCCCTTTGGAAGTGAGTGTTGGAAGTAGCTTGTGAATTATTGTGAAAAGATAGACTAATCTGAAATCAGGTGGAATGCTGTAACAGCAGATGTGGATGGGTGTGGCTCATAACGTAAGTGGTAAACTGAGGCAACTGATGAATGTTTGCATGTGGGTAGGTGTGCTTGTTGCATTTTCCAAAGCACTTCTGTTCAATGGGTGCAGTTTTCCACATTCACCTAGTTTCTCACAGATGAAATCACACATAAACAAACATGAAATTCACACTATGCTCAGTTCTCTAATACATCAATTGGTTGGAACAGATCTGCATTTCAAAGCCAGCTGTATAGCAGGACTGATCGAATCTCTTTTGTGCCTGGCCCTGTGCCACATGGTGAGCATACAATGGGAACAGCAAGACCTTGCTGCCCTCCAGGAGATTGTAATCCAGTGGACACAGTGATCCCCTCAGTTGTTCGAGAACTATTAAAGTGACTGTGTTAGGTCAGTACCAGATATGGCAGGAGTGCAGAGAAAGCCTTTCCCCTTTTCTCGGGGAGTCAGGGATCCCTTCTCTGAATGACAGTAGTGCCTACAGTCCTCTGGAGAGTCCCATGTGCAGGCACTGCTCTAAGTCCTATCCTCACAACACGCATTTGCAGTAGGTACAATTATTTCCCCCATCTTTGCACAGACAAAGAACTAAGGCACAAAGAAATGAAGTAACAAGTTCAAGGTCATGCAGCTAGTAATTAACAGTTAGGATAATAGCTCAGTCTGGCTCTAACATCCCTGCACTTAGCCACTACTTCAAACATTTTCACTGAGATTTAGCACATGAGTAGTTTTCCAGGAGGAAGAGTTCAGGAGACAGATTGGCAGATGGTTCTAGGATTGTTGAATGGGGAGGTGCAGAAAGAGCTGCAATTATTTGTCAGTAGATGGTGAGCCCTCATCCACTGAGGGAGGAGTGGAACTCCTGGGAGGTGGGAGCAGTAGGAGGAAAGCCATGAAAGAGAGCTTGGGAAAAAGCGCCCTCAAATGCCATTATATTCCAATGGCCTGAAGAGAACACTAATAGGATTTTGGCTGACATATGGGCACTGTTTGTACAAAGATTGTTCATAAGATAAATCACAGATCCCTGAAAGCACAACAAAACTGAATTCACTAAGTTCCTGCAAATCTGTTATGTTCTGTGTTTCCCACTCTCTAGTAATCCAGGATATATTGGGGGATATCACTGACTTTGTTTCTATGAAAATTTCTTTGTTGGTCTCCCAGGCCCCAGCCCAACAATTCAGGAGATATCTGAACACATATTGGGGGTCACCTTGTCTTTCCCTGTCATGGTGGCCATTAGAAGAGAGTGTCTGACAATATACCTGTGACCTTTTGGGGGCTTTATGCCGGATCGTGCTCCCCAGAGGTAGGTGCCAGCCCTCTGTGGGGAGTGCCGGTAGAGTGGGAGGAGGAGGGGAGGCTCACTGGTCCCCTCGGTTGCTCCTGGACTAGCATGGGAAATAAGATAGAAGAAGGCTCTGTCTGGAAAGTGACCCTGATTTTCTCACTGCTTTGACTAATGCAGCTACTACCAACGCATGCTATAGAATAGGGATCCGAGATACCAGCTTGTGTTCATATGGGTCTGGCAGGGATGTTCAACCTTGTGGCATCTCTGGGCCACACTGGAAAAAGAAGAGTTGTCTTGGGCCACACTTTAAATGCAAAAACATTAATGAAACCTGATGAGCAAAAAAGTGGTTTTAAGTAAATTTATGATTTTGTGTTGGGCTGTATTTATAGCCATCCTGGGCTGCATGCGGCCTGCAGGCTGTGGGTTGGACACCCCTGGTATGGTTTTCTGCTTATAATAACCAGTGGAAAACAACATGTGAGAGTAGATTATCCATTTACACAATAGATTACAGATCAGTAAATCTTGGGTCCTAGTGGTGCCACTTGACACTGAATCCTCTTCTAGAAATATCCTAAGGCAAACTCTCAATTGTCAGGTCTCAATTCTCAGGTCAGTATGAGACCTGTTTGTGAACAGTTAGCACCTCAGTAGCCCAGGCTTCACCTACCCTCAGTTTCTGGAGGGGCAGAAGAACTTTATAATCCCAAGGTAAGATCAGGTGATAGTATCCTTTGGAGATGTGGAAGTCATGGAACCCGCCACTCCTTTCTAGGTTTTCTAGCTTCCCTTCTCCTCCATCTGAGGCTCCCCAGAATGTCCTTAATGTTCCATAATGCTCTGGGGCATTGGGAGTCCCCAATCCCTAGGTTAGTGGATGTTTTGGTACTGAGGTTGTAGACTTGGGAGAGAAATTGTTTTCCTTCTGTATTATAATAAGATCTGGTAGAACTCAGGTTCTGTTGGCAGTACGAAATAGGTTAGACCTAGTTTTTATCAACTCTTTATAATGTTGCTTGCTCTTATCCTTTTCTTTTTCCTCTGCATCTGGATCAGTTGTTTGGACTGACTACATCTTTGACCATATGTACTCTTACTGGGATTTTGATAGGATTGCTTTACATTTATAGATCAATTTGGGGATAATTGTTGTCTTTACTGTATTCTGTTTTTCAATCCATAAACAGTTTGTCTCTCCATTTGTTTAGTCTTCTTTGATTTTTTAATAGTGTTTATAATAGTCGTCATATAGATTCTATGCCCATTTTAAGTTTACGTAAGTATTTTGTTTGTTATTTGGACGTGATTATAAATTATATTGTATTTTTATTAGTACTTTATCAAGGTGTGATTGACTTAATAAAAAGCATATTTAATGTATACAACTCTATGAGTTTGGGTATAAGTATATACTCATGAAACCATCACCAACATCAATGTCATAAACATATCATCTCTTCCCAAACTTTCCTCTTATCCTCTTCATTATTAATATTATTATTATTGTTTTTAGTGATAAGAACATTTCACAGAAGATTGACACTCTTAGCAAATTTTAAACATACAAGTACCTATAGCTACTGTCTTGTATATATTATATGTGCTGAGAAGTAGATCTCCAGGATTATTTATTTTGCATAACTGAAACTTTGTATCCTTTGACTCTCTCCTCCCCATTTATCTCTCCCCCAGCCATTGGCAACCACCATTCTACTCTCTGCTTCTATGAGTCTGATTAATTTATTTTTAAAATATTTTAATTAT